TATGATTTTTTTCTTAATTATCAAACAATTGTATAGTGACAAGATGAACTGAGTAGCTGAAACTATGACAAGATATAGGCACTAAAGCTTTACGAATGTTGAGTTAAAGCCATCCATAGCTACAAAACAAAAACTAGTAATTTCACAGCTTAAACGTGAGAACTTCTAAATATTTGTTCAAGCTAAAAAAGAGTAGATGGAGCCAACTATTCTCTTTCAAGATAAGCAAGATTGGAATTTTCAGTTTTTTGGGTCTGTTTCAAATACAGTATGGGGATATTTAAGAGTTGCTTGTTTCTGCATGGGGGTGAATAAAAATTACATTTAAAATGTCGTCACTCAAGAACCCTTTGCCCAAACCTTCCCAAATATATCAGAGAGCAAGAGCTGACTGGTTGCTGCATCAGTGCCAAATTTGGTGCTGACCCAAACTCCAGTATCAAAGTTGCAATTTTTTTTTGTTTGTGCTGCTCCCATTTTTAGAATTGCCCTGAAAAATGTCGATTTGCTCTCCCAGGACATCATTGCGACACTTTTTCGCAGAAACAATTTAGGCCACAATGTGGCTTCAGCATGCCATTATATTCATTCATCTTCAAAGTAACTTCCCCACATCTGTATCTTATGAGGGCTGATTTGCTCTCAGCATGTCATCATTAGTCATCCAGTGCTTTACCCCACACACTTACATGGTGCCCACTTCAAGACACGATGCAAGGCACAACCATGCAACGCAATGAATGTGCAACTGTGATCCTTGCTTGGATGTGTATGGTCTGGGATGCCTACCTCTCTGTGAGGTCACTTGATTGCCGCTCCAGTGCTAGGACTATCCCAGTTGGAAATGGCAACAATGTACAGAAAGTGTGCTAACCAGAGATCCAGATTGAAAAAATATTGTTCTAGAATCTATCTCATGACTTACTAAAGATACCATGATGTTTCTTACCATTCACATGACATAAGGACAGGACACAAAGCTGGTCTTTGTTCAAACAGGGACAGAATTCATGACTCTGCCCTTTTATTTGGTCTCCTCCCCTCATCTCAAGGCATGGAGTTCCTTAGTTGGAGGGCAGAGTGGGGAATCCCTTTTTTATATGTCTTTTAAAGCCATTCATCCCTCTGTCCTTCATCCCTCTCTTTCCTGCCCCACCCATTCCCAAAGCTGAAGCAACCATCTCACGCCATCTTTGAGCACTTCCCAGTGACCTCACTGTCCATCTGGAGCGCCAGGCTCCCCGGGATAAGGGCCAGGTGAAGAAGCCGCTGTTAACTGCTGTTACTGCTGCCAACAGCAGATGCTGGTTGTCAAACTTAAAAGCAGCAGCTTTCTTAAAAAGTAAGTGTGTGTGTGCCTACACTAGCCCATGATAGCATAAACAATGTAGATAGGAATCTCAGGAAGCCCCATGCTCATCTGTGACAAACATGAAAGAGCCAGGACAATAAGGGAAGAGCTTTCCGCCCCATCTGGAAAAGATAACTTGAAAAAAATTTCTTTTTAAAAAATCACAGCTCTCAGAGTCAAATACAGTGGTGCCTCGCTAGACAGTTACCCCACATGACAGTTTTTTCACTAGCCATTGACTTTTTGCGATCGCTATAGTGATTCGCAAAAACAGTGATTCCTATGGGGGAATTTCACTGGACAATGTTTGCCTCTGCTTCGCAAACCGATTTTCGCTAGATGACGATTTTGACAGCTCCCTCCATGCTCGTAAAACAGGTGTTTTTGGGACCTAAGCTTCGCAAGACAGCGATTTAAACAGCTGATCGGCGGTTCGCAAAGCGGCTTTCCTATGGCCGATCTTCGCTAGACAACGATGATTCTTCCCCATTGGAACGCATTAAACAGGTTTCAATGCATTTCAATGGGGAAATGCTTTTTGCTAGACAATTATTTCGCTAAACAGCGATTTCAGTGGAATGGATTATCATCGTCTAGCGAGGCACCACTGTATAGCAAGTGACTTTGCTGATTTGGGAAAACTTAGAGTTCCATTTTTAAAAAAAGAGAGGATAAGGAAGCAATGTTTCCCATTTCTGTACAACCCACTCAAACAGCAGACAAACGTTGCCACTGCCTAAGGCACTGTCTCAGCTCAGGATGAAAGAATGGCTGTGGAGAGAGGCTGCCACTGTTGTGACCCTGAACATTGGATGAATGGAGCAGCCACCTCATTCTGCCTCCTGCCGGCGCTGCAGAGATCATCACGAGCTGCTGATCATCAGTCAGACATTCAACATGTGAAGCATCTTCTTTTGTGGAGTCTAAGCACTGAGAAAACCTTCACCCACTGCTAAATTAATGTTGCTAGTTTAAACAGAAGAGCCCTCCCAGAAAATACATCAAATGTAAGAAGATATATCTAGGACTTAGCTCAGTGTTTTGAAGTATGTTTCCCATCTGGTATAAATCAGATCCTCAGTTTGTTGGAACATTTAAAACTAGACTACACTTTTGACAATCTTCAAGAATATAACCTTAGAGCAAAGGGAGTTACCAAGATGGCAGACTATACTAGACCCCCCCTGCAAACCTACCAAGAGGTATTGCCATATCTGTGCCACCAAATTTGCTAAGTCCACAGTAGTGACAATAATAGTAAAGAAATCTATACCCGCCCTTTAAGACAAAGGGGGCAGAGAGAACAAAGGTTGTTTTTAACCTGAATCAAACTTCTAGGAAGTGTCCAAGTCTCCAACCTGACTTGAAAACAAGGTGTATGCTCTGCGTGTGCCTTGTTTTAATGAAATATCATGCTTTGAGAGCAAGCGAGGAGGCTACTGCAGTTACAAATCTCGCTATAGGAGTGTGGGGCTCAAAGCAAGGCAGGGGGCTGTGTTGTAGGCTGCACTTATGCAGCATGACAAACAACTCCAGGGATAGTGATTCCTGACATTAAGGAAATAGGCAATTCCTTAGGGCATGGAAAGGTCACCACCCACCAGGGGTGTTGGCTAGTATTTGGGTCCAAGTCCCAAATCTGAGTCTGAATCTTTGGTGCCAAGTCCTGACTCTGAAGCCCCAAGTCCACCCCCCCTTGGAAAAAAGGGGTGGGTCGATGAGTTCCGAGTCGCAGGTTGAATCCGAGTCATTGGGGGGGGGAAGCCTTTGAGTCCAAGTTGATTCATCGGTGTGGCTTAAGTCCAACTTGACACCGGGTCCCATGAGTACCCATCCCTACCATCCACCAATGGGTCCCTTGTCGTTTAGACTATCTAAGGCCTCAAAATTTAGCTTTTTCTCCTTTTGTGATGGATCATCAGGAGGTAAGCCCAGGCTTCCGCTGCAAATGAGACTGTTTAGTCATGGAGGTCTGGGGGAAATCACATCTCTGGAACGCTACCAACTTTCAACTTGTAATGACTTATTGCTGGTAATACATCATTCAACTCACAGATTGAGGAAGACTTAACTGTTAAGAAATCTGTAGTCTTTTTTGTAAATCCAACACATATGTAATTCAAATTGTTTTAATATTTTATCTCTCTCTCTCTTTCTCTCTTTTTCAAAATAGTATTATGGAGAACCAGAATGGTCTAGAACCAGGGTCCCCAACCCCCGGTCTGTGGCCCGATACCGGGCTGTGGCCCTGGCAGGACCAGGCAGCGGAGACAGATCTCCCCCCCCCCGTACACATACACCCCCCATGCATGCACACATCTCCACATGCATGCACAGGTGCCCTGCCAACCCCTCCATCCATGGGTGCCCCTGCTCATCCACACACGGTGCCCTGCCCCCCATGCATGCACGCATGGATGTCCCCCACAGACATTGCCCCCCAACTAGTCTGCGGTTTAGAAAATATTGGGGACCACTGGTCTAGAGGACAGAGTGCTGAACGAGGATGTGGATGGCCTAGATTCAAATCTCTTCTCAGCCATAAAGATCACTGGCTTGCTTTGGAATTTGTCACATATTGCCCAATACCCTGTTACTTAGTATAGTAAATGGTACTAAAGTAGGCTCACTAAATCAATGAGGATGTAGTAAATTACTCCAGAAGTTTCATTGATTAAAATGGGCCTAATTTAGCATAATAAGTTTCAACATTATGCTAAAAGTAAGTTACTTACTATCCTGGAAAGTAAGTTACAGAAAAGTAACTACTTAACAGCTAGTGTAGGTTACAGTTAAAGTAGGTCTATGGTTACAGAAAAGTAACTACTTAACAGCTAGAGTAGGTTACAGTTAAAGCAGGTCTATGTGAATCAGTGGAACTTCTGGAGGAGTTGACTCACCAAATCCCATTGATTTAATGGGTCTACTTTAGTAGGATTTACTAGAGTAAGCAACAGAATTTGGGCCACTGTCAGTGTCCTGTCTCACAGGGTAGTTGTGAGGAGGAAGTAAGGAGGAAGACACCTATATATACTGCCTTCAGCTAATTGAGGAAAATCACAATAAATTTCATTCTCACACAGAGAGAAACAAAAAACAAACACACACACCCGCACAGAGAGAGTGAGTGAGTGAGAGAGAGAGCAGAACAGAAAGAATCTCCAAGGCAGAACCCATGAGGAGCAAAACTTGAGAAGGGACATCACTAATCTAGCAAACGTGCCAGTCAAGGAAATGATCAAATAAACAAAGTAAAAGCATTCAGTGAATCTTTTCCTAATGGAAGCTACTGCTGAGTAAATCAAAACAGACTTTTGCCACGAGAAGGCCATTTGCTAGTCAGCGTAATTCATATTATGAATAATATTATTAGAAATAAAATATTATGGGATAACTGTTTTAATCCACTGGTTCTTAACCTTGGGTTACTCAGGAGTTTTGGACTGCAACTCCCAGAAGCCTTCACCACCAACTGTGCTGGCTGGGGTTTCTGGGAGTTGCAGTTCAAAAACATCCGAGTAACAAAGGTTAAGAACCACTGTTTTAATCCCATTCCCAGATAATTGCAGAAAGAAAACCAGTGAGCCAGCAGTGCTAATAGTTGGTTCATTTCTCATGAAAGTTAATGGAAAGCCTAAGAGAAACTTACCTTGTGCAAATTTCTCATAAGATGCTTCAACTGCTTCCTAAATGAAGAAAACCCAAAAATCAATTTATCAGTAAAAACATCTAATCTCATCTCCAAGTCATGTTTTTGACATGCTTCATTCTTCCAGAGATACTATCTGTAAGTAAAAATATTTACTTTTGTGACGTATTTGTGGGGTTCTCACTGACCTCTTCGCTTCCCAAGATGTCTACAACCAGCAAAGGAGACACTCCAGTAACCTCATATCACAATTTGCCTGTAAATTTCCTTCTGCTTTCTGTGTCAGATTTCAGAATGGTTTAGGTAGCCTTTAGATTTCAAATGGACAAGAATAAGCAACTGAAAGGAGGTATATTGCCAGTTATCATTAGAAACTCAACTGATGCCAAAATAATTTGGGCTTTGTTAAACTGATGTGCATCTTAGAAAGTTCCATTAAAATCTGTCTCCTTGTGCTTTGAAAACCTTTGTTCTAGTACCTAAGGTAAAGGTAAAGGTTCCCCTTGACATTTTAGTCCAATCGTGTCCAACTCTGGGGTGCGGTGCTCATCCCCGTCTCCAAGCCGTAGAGCCAGCGCTTTGTTTGTAGACAGTTCCCATGGTCACGTGGCCAGCGTGACTAGACACGGAACGTCATTACTAGTATCTAGTGGCCATTAAATAGATACAATTTACAATATGCATGCAGATTTTTGTTCCAGTTTTACATATCAAAGAAAGGGGGGAGATCCTTGTGGTCTTGCAAAACTCCCATTATTTTCAATATGACTAGTTCAGTGGATACAATTTACAATATGCATGCAGATTTTTTTGTTCCAGTTTTACATATCAAAAAGGGGGGGAAATCCTTGTGGTCTTGCAAAACTCCCATTCTTTTCAATATGACTAGTTCAGTGATATAGTAGATGGAGTGTTAAACTAGGGCTCAAAAAACTGGGTTCCAATGCCCACTCAGAGTGCAATCAGATGCAAGGAAGTTGCGCATATGATCACACTGGAAAGAGTCACTTTGCCAGGAGTGATCTCCCTTAAAGTGACCCTTCCGTCCATCAAGGAATCACTCCAACCCAACTCAAAAAGTAGTAACTCTACTGGTGGACCAAAAAAAATCTATCTTAGGTACAGGTTGGAGCACTATTGCCTGCACATCATATAAGCTTGCACTGGACCACACCACAAGTGATATATCCATGTGATCAAAGCCTTAGGCACAGAAACTTATTGGGGGATGGCAATGATAAAATCACACCTTCAATATCTTACCTCCCTTGAAAACCTTATTGGGGTCACCATAAATTTGAAGTGACTTAACAGCACCCAATAAAACACAGGATATCTTCTCATTGTACTCTACCTTGAACACTTAAGTGCTTGGAAATGCAAGCAAAGATCTCTTTGCTCACTCATTGCTTAGGACCAGCACTCTGCTCCAAGTATTTTCTCAGCAGGGCAGCGGGGTGGGGCAACCTCTTACATTTCCATTGGCAAAATCTTCCCTGGCTCTTCCTGGTAATATACACTTTTGCTGCTGTCCCGGTCTCAGAAAATGTGTTCTATCAAAATTGTACCAGGAATTAGCATTTTGGTTGAAGGGAGTGCTATGTCCATTTCGGAGTTACATCTAGGTGTTCATCAAGCAGAAAGAAATCTCACAATCAGCTACACTGATAACCTGTTGTTGTTTTTTAACCCGCTACTCATTTCTGACACGTGATATCTGTGGCAGCAAGACAAGCATTTGAATAAATGGGCCAGCTGCGTGATCTGTCATACTTTCATTTGCAAACACATGAAGCTGCTATTAAGCACAACTCCAGATGTTGGTGGGATTGGCCAGCTGCGTTCACTTAGACCATCAAAAGGTCCCTGAGGTTTGTGACACAAGGCACCCAGGAGGAGCTCGTGCAGCATGAGAGAATATTTCCTCATCCAGCCATCACCCCTGCCACCAAATCCTGGAGGCAGAAGAAGTCATCACGTATTTTTATTGCTCATGTACTTTCACAGGCAGCTTTGTCATAGAGCTGGGATTCTCCCCATCCTATCTTTCAGTGAATTAGATATATGGCTGCATAGCCAGATGTTCGGAATTCAGCTTCCCCACTGTGCCTCTTTAAAGTAGAGCCAAGTTGTGCAGTCTTGGGCAAGCTGCATTGCCGCAAGATGCCCCCAGAAGAAGGGACAGGCAACATATACTCTACCTCGAAAACCCTGAAAAGGGGTGCCATAAGTCAGAATTGACTTGAAGGGACACATTTTTTTTTTTATCATTTCCAAGTCTGGCATGGTTTACTTGCTTATTATCTATGTGCCAGGTTTCTTGGTGGCTCAATTCACCAACAGACTGGCTGGGTGCATATTCCCAATAAACTATAAAATGTGGACGCCAGTGCTGAGTTTAGCACACTTCTCTGAAACGAAACCCCTACCGACTTCTAAGTGCACGTTCTTCTCTCTTTCTTGCACATACCTACACAGACACACATAGCACACCAACAGAGCAAAGCAAAAATAAAGTAGTCACACCAATATATGCTGTGCCATAAAAGTACATACAACCAATCTCAACTAATTGTTGGAAAAGTTACTTCTTTTGACCACAGTTCTCAGAAGCCTCCAACCCAGCATGGCCAGTGGCTGAGTTTTGCTGGGGTATTTTAAATACTGTGGTCCAAAAAGTAACTTTTCCAAGTTTGAGAACAATATCCTAGCCAAAGTCAAAGCCATGTCTCTCCACTGATGTAGAAGAACTTGCCCGGCTTTCTTTTCTCTCCCTGGCTTCTATTCTTCCTCACTATCCATTCCACATACATACAGAGGGAAAGCCTCCACAGCCTTTTTCTCATTCCCACTGGCCCCTGGCCCTTGGTGAACTATAGAGGATAGGACCTGTGTCACGGTAGCTTTGTCCAGTTCCTTGCGGAAGGAGATCAGGAAATAGCCTTGGACGACTACGGCGGTCAGCATCAGCAGCACCAGGATCCACAGGAGCACTTGGGCACGCTGCCCTTTCTTCTGGCTCCTCGGCACAGGGGGCACGAAGGGCCCGTCTCTTTGCGATGGTGCATCCACAACAAAAACGGATGGGTACGCTGTTCCAGCTTCCATCATGCAATAGATGGAAGAGCCGTCAGTGGTGGCACCGGCTTGAAATGGGCTGCTGAGCAAACAGGTCTGTCGCTTCCCAGCGGCCTGAGTTATGCACTCGAGAGAGTGCGACGCCCACATCCCTAGAGAGGAAACCACAAGGTTACCCAACTGTCCTCTGAGCACGAGGCCTGTACGCTTGTTTGGGTGGGCTGGGACTTCCTCGAAGGAAGCCACTCCTCTCAGGTCCTTTCCTGGGTGGGTGCTGAGCTCTTTCTAACTTGAACTCTGGAGACTTGCACTCCCACATGTATTGCCAGGAAGAGAAAAGGTGCAGGAAAAAAGCAGGTCTTCTGCTTTTCCCCAGAATGGCCTCGATGGCTAGTTGTCAGGGGGCACTGAGTCACAGAGACCATGGAAAGAGTGGCATTTCCTCCTGCAGGTAGGTGGGAGGGTGAAGTGGGTGTTTATGTGGGAAGGTGCAGAGGGGAGAGAGAGAGAGAGAGAGAGAGAGATCAGACATTCAGACATTCTGGGGAATGCTAAAACATGAAGAAAAGCAAATAGTAAACTTGCTTTCCACATCCCATGAATCTATAGAATTCAGTCCCACTCTCCTTTCCTCAATGGGGCAGAATCTTTTACAGAGAACTCAACAACCGAAGGGCTGCAAAATGAAACATTACAAGTACGTCATGCTTATTTAAAATGTTTTTTTCCCTAGTCTTTAAATAATGAGGTATGAACTGTGAGAACATTTAAAGAAAACTTTAAATCTTTCCGAGGTATGAAATGCCACGGTTTCCTTTGAATTTGTTATTGAGAGCTTTCCTTCCCCCTTTTATTAGTTGATTTATTTATTGGTCAGGTCCGTAGCCTATCAAAGCGTCATATCTGGCTCTTTCCCCACTCCCTTTTTCCTCACAGCCACCTGCTGAGGAAGGTCATGCTGAGACAGAGCAAGTTCTGTGGCTCAATAGGGAATAATATCTGATCTCCCAAGACGTCATCCAGCACTCTCAACACTAAGCCACACTACTAAGCCACACTGTCTCCCCAAAACTGCCCCTGTCCACTGTCTTTCTCCTCTGAAACTCAAGGCAGGATTGCTGACTGTTGCTAAGCTATCTCCCATCCAAGCACAGACCAGACCCAGACCTCCACAGAGTTCCAGCGAGTGCTTTCATCCCATAATACCACTGTACAGTATATCTGTGCTTAAAGAGGGGGCAGGGAACTCTGTACATGGGTTTCCCCATACAGGATTGTCTTCAGCGTAAAAAGCAACAAACAAGAATAGTAAGAGGAATCACAATTGTAAATTCTGCAGCTTTCTTCGTATTTTTGCAAAGAATGCTGAAGGGCCTCACCTAGGGGATGTTTTTGCTGAAATGTTTTTCTTTCTTTCCAGGTCTCAAGTGCGTCACAAGTTGGGCAGCTCCCAGACTGCTGGGTTCGCTGCGACTAATCATGGCTCCGTTACTGTTCCAAGCTTACAGCACAACTGGCTTTCCACACCATGGCGCACCTTGCCCGAGTAACAAAGGTTAAGAACCACTGAAGGGGACGTTTTTGCTGGAATGGTTTTCTTTCTTTCCAGGTCTCAAGTGAGTCACAAGTTGGGCAGCTCCCAACTAATCATGCTACTAATCATGGCTCCGTTGCTGTTCCAAACTTACAGCACAACTGGCTTTCCACACCACGGCGCACCTTGAACTTTTTCAGGAGGAGGGACCCTTCAGTTTCTGTGAGGTGCTCTTTGAAGCTCAGTACACACTTAAGGGATGACCTTTGCACTGGGACCATCGTAGGTCCTTCTTTTGTTTTATTTTCCCGCCAGTCATTAAATTAGAACTGTAATGCTTGTCCAGCAATTTTTATATCAATTTTTGTTTTTCAAATGTTGGTAGGGCCATTTACGTGTGTTGCCAAAAATGACAGTCAACAGAATGTTCTTTCACTCATGGTTTTTAAAAAAAGCATTATACTGCTTTTTTTTTAAAAAAGCAATTTTAAAAAAAAATCATAATTGAACCATATGTTTTTTGTTTTTCAAATGTTGGTAGGGCCATTTACGTGTGTTGCCAAAAATGACAGTCAACAGAATGTTCTTTCGCTCATTTTTTTTAAAAAAAGCCTTATACTGCTTTTTTTTTTTTTAAAAAAAAGCAAAAAATATTTTTAAAAAAATCATAATTGAACCATATGCGCAGAGTTCTTTCACACCTGCAGGCCGGAAAGAGATGAGTCAAGGAGCCCCAGGTGTTGCTAACCTCCAACTTCTCCTTCCCTCAGCAGACTGCCTGGTGCCTCTCAGAGGTGGTGTTGGAGTCTCCTTGGCTTATGCTTGGGGACTTCTCGCTGAGGCAGTTTTGTCTGGACTGGCTCAGGACTTCATGTCCTCTGGGAGAACCATGGGTCTGTCCCAAATGGTATCTGCCTCCCACTCATGCTGCAGAATACACTTTTAGAGTTGTTTTCTGTACTGGGGTAGATGTTGGTGATTTGGGTTTGGAGGAACTCTCTGTAATTCCTTTGTCATGGACAGATCATCATTTGGTGGGCTTTAGACTCACTGGAAGTCAGAGCCTCTGCAAGGATGGGCGACCAATTAAGACGGTCTGCCCTGGGAGGCGTATGGATCCAAATGGTTTCATGATGGCTCTTGGGGAGTTCCCTGTTGCCTCGGTAGGTGATTTTGTTAAAGCCCCTGTTGACCTCTGGAACAGGGAAATGGCCAGGGCTGTTGGCACAATGGCTTCTAAGTGTTCCCTCGCACAAAGTAGAGCCAAACTAGCTCCCTGGCTTACTGCAGAGCTGGTGGTGATGAAATGAATCGGATAGAGATGTATACTACCCGGGTCCGCGCGAGTCAGGAGGTGAGGCTGAGGAGCCTGACACCAAGAAAGGCCCGGAAGGAGAAGACATGAAACCGGGCCTTCTGGGCGGTGGCTCCTTGCCTCTGGAATAACCTTCCTCTGGTTATTCATGCGGCCCCTACGCTGGGCACTTTTAAGAGTCACCTAAAAACATGGTTGTATCTTCAGGCCTTCCCTCCTGTCAATATTTAATTCTTTCTTTATTTTTTCTTTCATTTATTATTTGTTTTATTATTGTATGTGTTATGGACTGTTTGTAAAATTCTTATGTTTT